GTTGAGCCAAATATTATAGAGGAAATAAGTGCTGCTTTTTTGTCTTAGTAGTTTGTCAGGAAGTTGTGAGAATGTATGTTACTATGTCTGTTAAACAGGAAGTGCTGTGAGGTGTCGTGATTGAGGTGTAACTGACTAGGGCGTTGGTTAGCCACGACGACGACGACTATGACACATGAAGTCATTAATAGGATGTTCAAGTTATTGTTATTTGACGCATTGGGGTTGTCACCATATAGAAAAGGGAAGTAATTAGCCAAGCCACTTTATATGTTGATTTGTTTTTCCCAGTGAAAATAAGTGTTTTAGTTTACGAAGAAGTAATGCAGAATAGATGCATGATCATGTGCCAACTTATAAAAACAGTGAATGCACAACACTTTGCATGTAATTGTTTCAGATCTTATCTATTGAGAAACATTTTTTTATTTAGATATCAATATTGTATTACAGTTACTTTAGCTGAGTAAACATTATAAGTTAAAACTATACATAATGGTATGGCAGTGGCTTACCCTAGTTCCTACATAAGTTTGGACTAAAATGCAAAGATTTGATAAAAGAGGAGTAGCATTAGATGGGAGTGAATGAGTATATTTAGTTTGATTATAATTTCTTTTTATTACTGTATGTAGGGCTGTCAAGGAAAAGTCATTTTTTTTTTTTCCTTTCAGACTTTATTTGGCAATGTTTGATACTTACATTTTTTAAAGATATAAATGTTCCTTGACTAAATGGTTCCAATGGGCTTATGTTTCCTCATGATTTGGGTGTGTTGGATAAATATTTTTGGTGAAGGATACACCATCAATGTGTCTTGATAGTGATGCACAGTTTGTGTTACTTGTCATGTCACGAAGATGACTTGGTTGTTGCTTGATCAAAGATAATTTTACCAACATTACCTGTGACATGGACAAGTGGTTGAATGAGTAAGGTAGGATTACCCAAAGGGAAACTATATAATTTCTCAAAGAAATGTTAAAAGTACCTTAGGCAGCTCTTTTACCTGCTCATCTTTGTTGGTCATGTCATATGGCAAGTTTGCCAGATGTGATTAGAACCAAAAATGTAGTTAACTGGTAGTCATTCAATAGGCTGAATTTTGAAACTTGACTTTACTTTTATACCATTTTTTAAGTTGCATTAAGTAATGTTTAGATTTCTGAACCGTTAGAAGTTTGAAATACAAAACACATTACAAAAATCAAACAGGGAGCTGAAGAGAAGTCAAATTTTATGATTGAGCCCATTGCTCTAGATCTGTAATAGCTCAAGTTATGGTTTGCCATTATTTTGATATGTGATCAAGTTTTAGTTGGCCATTTTGTTTATTTTTTGAAGAAAGGCTGTGTTGGCACCAGAGTCAGCCATTTTGTGTGCTCGTTGTAGAGTGCATATGAGTTTTGATTGCTTTAATTGAGATATTGGATGGATGTTTGTTTGTGTTTGTATAAGTGCGTGTAAATGAGTTTTGTAATGGTTTGTCGTACTGACTTCAATACACCTTAAATACAGACTTACATGGTTTATATTTACTATAAAAGGAGATGATTCTAAGATATCTGATGTAACATGTATGTGATGAAGTGCATTCATGAGTTGCCATGATTAGAATACATAATACTAATAGCCCAGATTGATTTTAAAAGTCAAATTACTCATAAAGCGGCTTTTAAATCTCTGAAAGGCCACATGCCACAGGATTAGAATTATGTTTTTTAACATGGTGTTACATCTTGAATTCATATGTGAGACCTGTGTTTTCCTGAACATAACCAAGTGTGATGTGCTTCCTCTGCCTCAGTTTTGGAAATATGTGGAATTTAACCACTGGGGCAGTGTTAAAAGTGTGCCGCATGAATTGATGCTGGTGACATTTACTTGTGGACTCTGGTGACATGAAAAAGTGGACACTAGTGACATTGAAGTTGGACACTGGTGACATTTAAATGTGGACACTAGTGACCTTTACAAGTGGACACGGATGATGTACGGTAGTAGACACTAGTGACTGACTTTTCCCAAGGGAATAACTGTATGTGCTGTGAGTGTACAAGTGACCACTTGTAATACTATGATTTCTGTCCAGGTGAAGTGTGATAAGCCACTAAGTGTGCAGAAGTGAACATTGTGAGGTGACTAATGCCCAAATGAATCTTTGTATGAGTGTATTGTATACACTTTCTCATTTGTATTTCTGTATGATGTACATCTATCAGGAGAGATTTCTTCATAGTTGTAAAGTGTGGTAGGAATTTCTACAGAAGTGTATTGTATACCTTACAGCATGTGTGTAAGAGAACAGATGAGTTCTTTTGTATTTATGAGGTCAAAATGCCTTTCCTTTGTGAGCATGTCTGTAAGAATTTATTTCCAAGTTGACCAAGTGCTTTCTTTGTAAGTAATGAACCACTGGTGAGTTGTCCTGCTAGCGACAGAGTGGTTGCTGCTGCATTTGGCTTTGGAATTAAGATGGCTGAAGTAAATTAAGTGAAGCCATACCATATCTTACTCTAGGTTTTGTATGAAAAGTACTGTATGAAATCTATAGTAAAGGCAACCTTTGGTTTGTTAACTTTTGCATTCTAAGTATTTTACTTCTGCTCATCTTGAACTTAGCCATTTTCAGTGAGGCATATATATTGCAATTGTAGCAGTATATGATGCCCTTGTGATAGTGAAGGTAGTGATAGTGTTTATGATAGTGAGGGTAGTGATAGTGTCAGTGATGCTACTGTATTACTCTGTATGAATGTGGCAATTGAGTAAATGTTGAGTATGAGTAAATGATGCTCCCTGACCCACCATGACTTTCCTTGCGACGCCTTACAATCACAACTCCCTCCAGACAGTGGTTGGGTGAAATTATAAGGGAGCCAAAGAAATCCATTTTAGTTTTTGTTTATTTTTATAGGCAAACAGGTATACGTTCTGTCATGATTCTAGGGTTATCTTTATACTTTCACCAAAACCACTGAAATGTGACTTGTGAAATCCACCTGTTTCAGTGAGCCCATTAATACTTAATTAAGGTTATTGTGTTTTCAGGCAACTTAACTTTTACTTTTTTAACATTGGCTGCTGAATGGAACAGAGTGTAATTAGAAAATCAAAGGTTTTTCATGTTTGCTTTTATTTTTTCAAATGAAGGTTAATACTAACATTTTGGGAAGTATATTTATTGTTATAAAACCGGGAGCCACTTACAGCTGAGGATGATGATATGCAATGATGATTTGCCTTGGATACTTGTATTTGAAAGTCCAAATGTTTCAGAATTCATGGTTGCACATTTGCCAATTGTAGGTTCTTTACTAGTCATACTCCCAGACATGAAGCAAAAAGATGATGATATAGTACATTTTTCCACATAAGTATATATTTTTGATTGTTGATTAGTATTAAGATAGATTTAGAAACCATTGGGGATTTCATTTTAAAGGTTGAAGGTTATTACTTAAGCAATAACATTTTTTTTTAAAACTGAAGGTAAAATTCAAGTTATTTTGAATTTATTGCTCAAGAAATCTTATTATTATTATTTTTTCTTTTTTTTTCACCAGGAATTTAACAGTATTTTGGTATGAAAATTGAGTATCTGCTGTCTGAAAGGGTGTAAGTTTTCTTCCTACCTCTATTATTATAGGTGAATTCATATGGTTTTATTATTTTTACTCTTTTTAACCTATTTTAATTTCTCTGATAAATATAACCACCTCCTCCTCCTCCTCCTCCTCCTCCTCCTCCTCCTCCTCCTCCTCCTCCTCCTCCTCCTCCTCCTCCTCCTCCTCCTCCTCCTCCTCCTCCTCCTCCTCACTCCTCCTCACTCCTCCTCCTCACTCCTCCTCACTCCTCCTTACTCCTCCTCACTCCTCCTCCTCCTCCTCCTCCTCCTCCTCCTCCTCCTCCTCCTCCTCCTCCTCCTCCTCCTCCTCCTCCTCCTCCTCCTCTTATTTTCCCATCCCTCTTTCCTTCTTTCTCTTCTCCCTCCCTTCCTCTATCCCTTCCTCCTTCCTTTCCTCCCCCTTCCTCTCTACCACCTTTTCTCACTCATTCCTTCCTTACTTCCTTTCTTTTGTAGTTGCAGACTTTTAAGATTTTTATGTATTAACCCTCTCATGTATGAGATGAGAGTGTCTGCAATCTTTATTTAGGGTCCTTCGGAGACATACGACATGTATGTTGAGGCACCATATATAGATATTTACCACAAAAGAAGTACTTCTCCAGACCATAAAATATTTTAACTGGTAGTAAGCGACCTTTTTCTGTTTTAAGTTTTTAGGTGTGGGCAGTTTCCAGCTGCTTTTGCCCATCAGCCTAGTTTGTGAGAGGGGGTTAGGAAAACCACATAGAAAATTATCTGAATATTGTCATGTGTGATAGGGTAAAATTCTTATTTAAATTATGTTTAGTTGTGTAATAAGTTCAGTCATTAGGTTCAAAAGTCATATTTTGTATGGTACTTCCTATTGATATTTTTTCTAAATACAACAATGACAAAAAAAAAGAACGAAAAAAAATTGTCTCATTATATGGTATTTCTATTGTAAGACATCAAAAAACATGGAAATTGATACCAGTATCCAATATTTAACATATTGAATTCAATACAAGTGCAATAGAAAATATAATTTATTAAGGTAGAAAAGCCTACAAAGCAAAAAGTACATTTATTGAAATTGAGACTAAAATTTATAAATCCACCTGGATTCCATCCAGGTGGATTTCGAAACTTTAGTCTCATTCACTAAATCTAGTTTTTGGAGTCTAGGTTTTTCTACCATAGTATCAACACGGTAGGTGTTTTACCATTCATTAATTACGGTAAATAACAAAATTTTTGCACAAAATTTATTGAAGTAGACACATACTGCTTGTATTACTGTAAAATTCGACCCTGGTTTAGAAAGTTATGGTTTATTGCCAGAGTATCATTATATGATTTCTAATTTTCATCTGAGGTCCTTAAAGTTGGATGTTAGTCCAATTAGTCA